ATTTACTTGTTGGCCACATTTTGCACTGACAGTTGGCGCCGTACGTGGGGAGGACGCCATGCGTTCACGCTTTTGGTCATCGGATGGCACACCTTTCCACCATCTTCGGCATGGTGAGCTTGAGCGATACGATTAACTTCGGCTCGCTAGAGTTTCCCACGCTCCCACATGTTGGGATGTGGATTCCTCCTGTCTTCGAGGCATTCTAGACTTTCCCCTTCGGAAGCCTGGACTTCGTCACCGACCAGCTCGGTGTACTCCGCCTCCGTGAGGAGGCACTTGTCGCGGCGTCCACTAGAGGAGGAGTGCCCTCCACTTGCCCTAGGCCAATTAACGACCTCAATGTCGAGATACTCGTGCTTCGCCTCGAGCCCATGCTGGGCTCAAACCCCACGGTGAGTGATGCACATATTATTCTTTACTCACTATTGAACACCTTCCGCTGCCTCTCCAGAGGGACCCCGTTGTCCCCACCGCGACCGCCGTGCGACTGGTTCCCCTACGGCTTCGCGTCCCCCATGGACACATGTGCGTGGGGGCTCTGAAGGATGCTGACGCCACCCCCCTCACGTCCGAGTTCATGGGGATAGCAGGCTACGCTCCCGCCTCCTTTCACAACTTCGTCGATCACAAGGTCGAAAGCGATAGCTCCAGCATCGGCGACGTCGTGGCACCTAGCCACCCTCTATCCCAGGAGTGCACTATGGCGGATGCCCCGGGACAGCCACTGGTGGTAGTGGAGTCTTTGTAGACCCACACCCCTCCAGACCCCCGTGCGAAGGCCCAGGCACGTGCGTAGGAGCACGGCGAGGAGTTAAGACAAAGGCGGCAAAGCTAGTCGTCACCTGCGCTAGCGCACTTGGCGCAGCTCGCTGTGGCACATGCGCATAACCCAGCGAGCGGCGCTTGGGGTCACGCCCGTCAGGTCCAGCTAACAACCTAGACTAAGGGGACGACCCCCCTCAGTTTGTTCGGGCTGACCAGAACATCGCTGCTGTGGCGATGCTTCTACATGGCCTCCCCGAGCCTACTGGCCCCTAGGAACAGGCAATCCACCGGAACCTCTAGGCGCTAGTGGAGACCATTGCTGTTTAGAAGGTGGAGAGCTCCGTGTCATGACACTGGCTCGTGGCCTCCTGCCCAACTGGGGGACTATGGCCACACCAGTCGAATCACTCCATCCACTCACCGCTGCAGTTGCCAAGTGTGGAGCAAGAAGCCATGACTGCAATGCAGCCCAACCCGGTGCTCGCTCCACACCAACCACCTGTGCGTGAATGGCTTGGGATGAACCTTGATGCTCATAGTGTCATCAACAATCGACGCCACGCCCGACACAATGATGACGTCCATCGAGTGGCGGCGAGAGTAGGTGGCACGGGCCCCAACCTAACCATCGAGGAGTGTGGGGACACGCACCCCAGGCATGGTGGCCGACCAAATGACCGGAGCCCCAGCCCAGATGGCCTAGGGCTATGGGCCTTTGGTCGTCGCATCCAGAAAGCGTCGTTCCCACACCGCTTCCGACCGCCCACCAACATCACAAGGTACACCGGGGAGACGAACCCCGGTATATGGCTCGAAGACTTTCGGCTCACCCGACGAGCCGGAGGAGTGGATGATCACTACTTCATCATCCAGTACCTCCCCATCTGCGTGGGGGAGCATGTTCGAGCATGGCTCAAATTTCTTCCACCCGATAGCATCCGCGACTAGGTGGATCTCAAGAGGTTCTTCGTCGGAAATTTCTAGGGGACATATGTCCGCCTTAGGAATTCCTGAGACCTCAAGAGCTGCTAGCAGGAGCCCAATGAGTCCCTGCGGGATTACATCCGTAGGTTCTCAAAGCGGTGCAACTCCCTTCCTGGTGTCATCGACGTGGACGTCATCAACACGTTCCTCTCTGGGACAACCTACAAGTCCTTGATCCACAAGCTCGGTTGTGTGAAGCCCTGTACCACCCACGACCTACTCGACATCACCACAAACCACGCCTCCGGCGAGGAGGCATTTAGGGTGGTCTTCAGCGGCGGTTGGGACAGGGGCAAGGCCAAGCGTGAGGACCAAGGCAAGTGCCCCTCCACACAAAAGGGCAAGAAGAACAAGAAGGATCGACGCTGACAGACCAACCCAGCTTTGGTCGCTTCGGCCGACCGAGCGGGCAAGCAACCCCAGCAGGGCCAGCTTGACCACTTCAACAAGCTCATGGAGAGTCCATGCACCAACCACACCTACCCTATCAAGCACCTCTACAAGGACTGCGAGCTCCTCAAGCGCTTCCTACGACAAGCTAGCAAGCCAAAGGAAGGGAAAGGCAAGGAGGACATGGCCAAGAAGGAAGGCGCGGTGGGTAAGGAGGGAGACGGCTTCCCCGACCCTAAGGAATGCCTCATGATCTTTGGGGGATCCAATTCTATCCACTCCAAGCGCCAGCACAAGGTACGCTATAGAGAGGCATGCACTGTCGAATCAGCCATCCCCTCTTTCCTTAGCTGGTCGGACTCCTTGATCACTTTTGATCTGAGAGACCATCCTTCCCACGTCGCTCGACCGGGTCGCTACCCGCTCATCGTTGACCCCATCATATGCAAGAAGCGCCTCACCAAGGTGCTGATGGACGGAGGCAGCAGCCTCAACATTCTCTACATCGAGACCCTCGATGCCATGCGCATCCCCCGATCGGAGCTCCGCCCAATGAGCTCTCCCTTCCACGGCGTGATCCCAGGGACGCAAACGTACCCACTCGGGCAGATCAACTTGTCCGTCATGTTTGGCGACCGTGCTAACTTCCGCACAGAAGTCCTAACCTTTGAGGTAGTGGACTTTCCGGGGTCCTACCACGCCATCTTGGGGCGGCCATGCTATGCCAAGTTCATGGCGACCAACTACACCTACCTCAAGCTAAAGATGCTAGGGCCAAATGGCGTCATGACCATAGGTAGCACCTTCTCGCACACCTACACGTGCGACCACGAGCATTACGAGCTCGGCACTGCCGTCATCAACTCCGCCGAGCTCCCAGAGCTCGGGAATTCGACGACTCCAGCAGTCCCCGACTGCAATGAGCCAACCTTCTCAAGTACCTTCCATCCAACCGAGGAAACCAAGGTGGTGGGGATCGACCCCACCGACCCGACTAAGATGGTGCAGATTAGGACCAAGCTCCTAGCCAAATAGGAAAGTGAGCTCGCCGACTTCCTACGTGCCAATTGCGATGTCTTTGCGTGGAAACCTTATGACATGCTAGGCATACCAAGGGAGGTCACTGAGCATGCACTACACGTCGTCCCAGGCTCAAAGCCCACCAAGCAACGCCTCGCTTTGACGATGAGTCACCCTGGGCATTTTTTAACCGCAAACCGAACCGAACCGCACCGAACCAAACCAAAGTGTCGGTTTTTTCGGTTTACGATTTAGTTTCTAGTTTAGCACTGTTCGGTGTTTGGCTTCGGCTTCGGTTTTATACTCAAACCGAACCGATTAGCCGAACAAACCGATGTAATCTCCGTGGCCAGAAAGCAGAGCACACACACGCTCTGTCATTCCTAGACCCCAGCCCCCACCATGGCCCATCAGGCATCAAGCCATCTGGCGAATCCGAATCCCCAACCCCCCATCCGGCCATCCTGAGCAGAGGCAGTCACTCGTGGCAGCAGCAACTGCAGTGGTGGCGCCTACCCCCCAACGCCTCTGCTTCCATCTTCGGTCTCCCGCTCCTCCCCCACGCCCCCACCGCCGCCCACCCCCAGCCACCACCAAGCCCCCTGCCCCCCCCCCCAGCTGCGCCACGCCGCCACCTTCACCCCAAGCCTGACCCGCCTAAAAGCGCCACCAGCTCGTGTCACACCCACCACATAGATAGCCCAAACTGCCGCCTGAGCCACCACATTGCACGCTGATCCGAAGGGCAGCAGCCCCTCCGCCATCATCGTGCTCATCTTTTCTTGATTTATTTCCCATCTTTAGATCCCCAATCAATTTTGCATCTTGTATTTTTTTGCCCTTATTAATTGATGCGCATCTCGACTTGATTTTGCCCGGCTGTGGCATTTGAAATGCAATGGGGCCTTCTTTGTTGTTGCAGCACCGGACGAGCCGGAGCAACTCTAGCTTCGGACCACCAACTCTGCAACCCGTCTGGAAGAACAATTGGGCTCTCACCGACGGACAGCACAAAGTTCGACCATGGCCACCATGTAGCATATATGTTCTTGATCTGTGCTAGACATGCTGTGGTGAATTGACTGCTCTCTGGTTGCTAGTCATTGCGATTCCTGCAACAATATTACACTATCGAAGCTTTGGTTGTAGTAGTGACTGAGGATTTTGCTTCCAATCCTTTCAAAGCTTGCATCTAGATGTGCTTTTGATTGATTTCCTGTGACTATTTTTGCTGCTATATATATGCAGATTAATTCACTTGCCATATTTTTCCTGTGACTATTTTTTGCTGCTATATATTTCTACTTCTTGTATTGTTATATTTAACATATGTATGCAGTATTTTTAACATATATATGCAGTTTGGATGTTGGGTGAGGTTGGGTTTATAGATTTGCTCTATATTGGGGCTCACCCTCTCCACCCCTGTTATCGGTTACTTGTGCTCAATTGATTTCTTAATTTGCTTCAAATTAACCAGTGTGGGCACTAAGTTTGGATTGTTAGCGGATTAGGATTCATTTGTCAGGAAGCGTTACACTTGTTATGCTTCCTTTTCATTCTGACTCAACTTTGCATTGATTAATTGATTAATTTGGACTTGTTTTCTTGTTCGTGTTGTCTAGAGGCGAGGCGACTAGGGCAAGGTCTTACGGCGAGAGGAGGCGGCGGCAAGACGAGCACCACTCTCGTGAAGTTCTCCGACCAAGACAACGGCGGTGTGGACCGAGCAGTCCTCCAATGTAAGTTTAGATCGATCTTTAGTTCTTCACTTCTTCTGGTCTTCTCCTGTTCTCCTTGCTATTCTTCAGTTCTGATTTGGAACATTTCATTTCTAGATGGGGGACACAGATGAAACTGTTGCTTATGAGATTAATCAGACTCAAGAAACTGAAACTGGAGTGTCAGCGACTGGAGTGGTAGATGTAGACAAGGAGCAGCAGCAAACCAAGGATGGAGAGAAAGTGGATGAAGAATCCAAGAAAAGAAAACCCATGGCTCTAAGATCTGATGTATCGGATAGTTTCAGCAAGGCCAAACTCGATAATGGGGAAGAGAGAGCCAAGTGCAAGTGGTGTACCAAGCTCTTTCATTGTGGCTCAAGAACAAATGGTACGTCATCCTTGAAAGCTCATCTGAATATTTGCAAAAGGAATCCTAACAAACCAGTAGTTGATAATCAAGGAACTTTGCAACTGACACCATGTGCTGGCACTAGTAGTATTGGTACTGTAACCACTTGGAAATTTGATCCGGATGAACTTAGAAAGAGTTTTGCTGAGATGATAATTGAAGATGAACAACCATTTGTCTTATCTGAATGTTCTAGTCTTAGGAAATTTATGGCAAAAGCATGTCCACGATTTATTCTGCCATCTAGAAGAACAATCACTAGAGCTTGTGTTAAAGTATATGAAGATGAGAAAGAAAAGCTTAAGAAATTTTTTTAGGACAATTGTGAAAGAGTTTGCCTCACAACTGACACATGGACTGCTAAGAATAGCCAAAACTACATGTGTGTTACAGCCCATTTTATTGACAATGACTGGAACCTACAGAAGAAAATTATTGGTTTTTTCTTGGTTAAGGGCCATAGAGGGGAGGACATTGGAAGATCATTAGAGAATTGCTTGGCTGAGTGGGGCATTGACAAGGTTTTTACAATAACAGTAGACAATTCTAGTGCAAACAATAATGCAATTAAGTATATGAGGCGGGTCTTGAATGAGTCAAAAGGTTGTTTTGTTGAAGGAGAGTACCTGCATATGCGATGTGCTGCTCATATTATCAACCTAATAGTAGGTGATGGCTTGAAGGAAATTGATAAATCAATTCAGCATGTCCATGCTCTTTGTTAAGTTTATCAAGTGTGGAACATCTAGGTTGGTAAAATTTAAGAAATGTCTTTGAGTTAGCCAAGGTATAGAGCAAAACATTTATGACCTTAGATATTTGCACTAGATGGAACTCAACCTACCTTATGTTAAATGCTTTTATGCACAGAAGTACCAAAAAGCATTTGAAAGATATAGTGATGAAGACCCATACTACAGATTAGAATTAGAAGGAGAGAATGGTCCAGGGGTACCAACAAAAGCAGATTGGGACAAGGCTAGGAAGATGGCAGATTTTCTTGAACACTTTTATGACCTCACTCCGTGTTTCTGTACAAAGTCGTCCAACATCTCACACTTATTTTCATGAGATTGCTGATGTATTACTTATGCTGAGAGAATGATGTCATAGTGAAGACAACCTGAGCAAGGAAATGGGTACAAGAATGCTAGTGAAGTACTACAAGTACTGGGGAAAGAAGTATGGTGAGAGGCAGGGGGACAGAGAGAAGAGTGGAGAGAAAGATAAGGGGGATCAGCTACTCAACTTTACTGTTTTTTTTGTGTTGCTATTGATCCTAGATACAAACTATCAAATTGCATCAAAATGGGAGTTAAGGTAATGTTTGGGGATACAATAGGAGAAAAAGTGTGGGAAACAGTGAACACTTATTTTCGTGCTTTGTTTGAAGAGTACAAGGAAATGTATGCCCCAAAAGATAAGGCACCACAACCTACTGAATCTGAATCTACAACTGAAACCAGCAAAAGAGTGAGTAGGTAGATGTCGGTAATTACTCGTGATTAACGGTGAGGGTGGGCCTCATCAAATTTGAGGTAGACAAGTATCTATCGAAAGATAATGAGCGGACATAGGATTTGACATTCTAAAGTGGTGGAAGGCCAATTCAACAAGATTCCCAATATTATCTCGTTTGGCCCATGATATGTTGGCAATTCCTTTCACCTCGCTTGCCTCTGAATCAACCTTCAAAGTCTTTGGTGGCGAGAACTCTTGATGACTTTAGGACCTCACTAACCCCAAGAATGGTTGAGCGATTCGTTTGTGCAAATGATTGGATTCGTGGAGGAAACTATGTTAGTGTTGAAGAGGACACCCGAACAAATGGCTTTGCTTGAGGAAGGTAACATAGTAAATTATTAATTGCTTCTAATGTGCTTCATGATTCATACAACATGTACTAACAGAGATCATCTATTATTTTAGAACTTGGTGGCTGTCCATTTCCAAGGAAGATACTCCACCTCTTGAGTCATGATCACTTGGTGTATGCATGTCTTTGCTCTTTGGATGTTTAATATTTCTCTATTTGAATAATGAAGAACTCTTGAATCTATGTAATTGTGTACTTTGTTGTCTTGAGGCTTGTTGATTTGTGTCTTCGTGAGATCTGCCGACACTACTTTGTGTAATTACGTCTTTCTTTGGTTGTTGCTTTGCTTGATGACTTAAGACTTGATATATCATATGTCTTTGTAATCTTGCTTTGTTGCTTGTGTTCATTTCAGAATCTGTCTGCGTTAATTCGGTTAAAACCAAAAACTGAATTAAAAAAACCGAAACCGAATTCTGTGGTTTTTAGTTTTCTGCAGAACCAAACGGGTGATGTAGGCTGGAAACCAAAGTTTTTTATAACCGAATAAACTGAACCAAATTAACGGTTAAAACTGAACGCCCAGGCTGAACGATGAGAGGCGCAGGGCCATCGGTGAGGAGATCGCCAAACTCCTGGCAGCCGAATTCATCAAAGAGGTATACCACTCCGACTGGCTAGCTAATCCTGTTCTTGTAAAAAAGAAGAATGGGAAATGGAGAATGTGTGTTGATTATATGGGCCTGAACAAGGCATGTCCAAAGGACCATTTTCCTTTGCCACGCATAGACTAGATAGTTGACTCCACCTCAGGGTGCGAAATCCTCTCGTTCCTAGATGCCTACTCAGGCTACCACCAGATCACGATGAAAGAGTCTGACCAGGTCGTGACTTCATTCATCACCCCATATGGTTCGTACTGTTATGTAATCATGCCTTTTGATCTGAAGAACGCTGGCACCACCTATCAACGGTGCATGCAGCAATGCTTCGCCGACCAAATCGACCCGCCCGTCCATCCTGACCAAGTTGAGCGGCTAAAACCAATAATCGCCGTCTATGTAGATGACATAGTGGTGAAAACGCCTCAAGCTAGCAACCTGATCGTAAACTTGGCCACCACATTCGTGAACCTCTGAAGGTTCAGCGTCAAATTGAATCCTAAAAAATATGTTTTTGGGGTTCCGAAGGGGAAGCTGCTCAGATACATTGTATCCAAGCACGGCATCGAAGCCAACCCCGAAAAAATTATGGCTATCTCCAACATGGGCCCTATACGCAACGTCATGGGTGAACAAATGCTCACCGGCTGTTTGGCCACCCTGAGCTGGTTCATCTCCCGACTAGGTGAGCGGGGGATGCCTCTCTACAAACTTCTCAAGAAAACAGACGCATTTGTCTAGACAAAGGAGGCACAACAGGCTTTGGAAAGCCTCAAAGCATCACTGACGTCGGCCCCAATCTTCGTCGCTCCTGAACGGGGAGAATCCCTCCTCCTCTACATCGTGGCAAGCAACCACATTGTGAGCGCCGCCCTCGTCGTCGAGAGAGAGGAGCTGGGACACCACCTGAAGGGTCAGCGACCAGTGTACTTCGTCAGTGAGGTACACACTGATGCCAAGGTTCGCTACCCCTAGGTCTAGAAGCTTCTATATGCCATTTTGATGGCAACCCGGAAGCTCCGGCACTACTTCACCGATCATGAGGTCATCGTCGTCACTTCATACCCACTAGGAGACATTGTCTGCAACCATGATGCCGCAGGACAAATCTCCAAATGGCCACTCAAGCTCATGGGCCATGACAATAGGTATGCCCCTCGCACCACTATTAAGTCTCAGGCTCTCACCGACTTCATCGCCAAATGGACAGAAATCCTGCTCCTAACCCCGGACATCACCCACGAGTACTGGATGATGTAATTTGACGGGTCAGTCATGGCGCCTGGCTCGGGGGCTAGAGTGGTTCTGATCTCCCCAGAAGGGAGCAGGCTCCGCTATGCGATCCATCTCCATTTTTTAGCCTTGAACAATGTCGTGAAGTATGATGCCCTCATCAATGGACTGCGCATCACCGTCGAGCTCGGTGCCATGTGGCTGTATGTCCATGGTGACTCAGAGTTGGTCATCGACTAAGTCATGAAGGAGTCCTCCTGCAAGAGCCCTCTTATGGTAGCGTACTGCTAGGAGGTGTGCAAGGTCCAGGACAAGTTCCAAGGGATCGAACTGCACCATGTCCCTCAAAAGGACAACAACGCCGCTGACTCTCTCGCAAAATTAGCGGCCAGATAGGAACCGCCCGCCGACAGGGTCTTTGTAAATGACCTCGATGAGCTGTCTATCCGCATCCGAGAGGATCCGACCCAGACGCGCTCCAACATCAATCTGTCACTCAGGGGCTCCGACCCCTTGACGTGCCCTAACCCTGACCAAGCACTTAGGGGCTCTGACCTTGGTGCCTCCATGGCAACATCGCCTGCCGACGTTGCTGTGATGGCACTCGATCTGGCCAACTGAAGAGCACCACTACTCACCTACCTCCTCGAGGAGGTTCTCCCACCAGAAAGGACTAAAGCGCGATGAATCTCTCCATGCTCTAAGACGTTCATCGCCATCGGTGACAAACTTTACAAACGGAGTCCATTGGGAGTACTCATGAAGTGCATCTCAACCGACTAGGGGAAACAACCATTCGTGGTCTGGGGCCTTGACATGGTCGGACCCCTCAAAAAGGCCCCGGGTGGCTTCACTCACCTACTCGTGACGGTGGACAAGTTCACCAAGTGGATAGAATCAAAGCCCATCACCAATATCTGCTCAGAAGAGGTGGTCAAGTTCCCCCTCGACATCATCTATCGGTTTGGTGTTTCTAACTGTATCATCACCGACCATGGAACAAACTTCACCAGGAAGAAGTTCCTAGACTTTTGTGATGGATATAGCATCAGGATCGATTGGGCCTCGACCGGACACCCGTGGACTAACGGTCAGGTCAAACAGGCCAATGGCATGGTCCTCCAAGGACTCAAGCCTCGCATCTTCAACTGACTCAAAAAGTATGTCGGGCGTTGGGTTGTAGAGGTCCCAACGACCCTCTGGAGCCTAAGAACAAGTCCAAACTGATCCACGGGGTTCACCCCCTTCTTCCTAGCAAACGGAGCCGAAGCAGTGTTGCCATCTGACCTTGATCATGGCGCTCCAAGAGTAAACACCTTCGACCAAGACCGAGCTACGGAGGCTCAACAGGACGCAGTTGGCCTGCTTGAGGAAGCTCGTGAGACGACTGTCATCCACTCTACTCGTTACCAGCAAACTCTTCGCAGGTAACATGAAAGAAAAATTAGGGGGAGGATCCTCGAGGTCGGTGATCTCATACTCAAGAGGACCCAGTCCACCAATGACAAACATAAGCTCCCTCCATCGTGGGAAGGACCATACACGGTAGCTGAGGTGATCTGACCGGGCGCCTACCGGCTGAAGGATGACAACGGCAACATTCTCACTAACACATGGAACATCGAATAGTTACGTCATTTCTTTCCCTAAAGCTCGGTCTTACCATTTATTTCCATTCAACATTTGCTCCTATAGCGCCCTAGCCCGAGCACTCTTGACCTGGGTTGCTCGGGGGCCCCATGGGGGTGCGATACCACCCTCCTTTTTTTACTATCATATAGTAATACTTTTCACGCAAATGAAAGGGCATCGCCCAAACGAAAGGGCATTCCGTTCCTTGGATTACCCTACGTAACTTGCGCTTTAACCTCCTGATCACACCCCACCACGACCTACGATTATGAGCAGCTGAGCCTCGCAGGCAACTCCCGGGTTCTTAAGGTTGCAGCCTATGGGTCAACGAGCAGGTGCGAAAAAGAAAGGACAAAAAACAAAGCTACGCAAGGGTAAAAAC